AAAAAAAAAAAAAAAAAAGATGTATAACTGTGTTACTTGAACTCTTATTCAATATGAAACACAAGGCCATAAAGAACTTTGAACAGACATTACTATCGATGACTCTATGTAAATTTTAAACCAGATCTCAAGTTTACAGACATCTAGGGTTCCCTAAAGTATTTCATGAAAATCTTAAACAACCTTTAACATGTGACCAAGCTGGGAACTGGAGGACTTTACATTTCTTGTTCAAGCAACAACCCCTACCCCTTAAGGGGGAATGAATGAATCTAGGGCCTTCACAGCTACATCCCCAGCCTTCTTATTTCGACACAGGATCTCACTAAACCACGAAATTGCTCAGCCTGGATTCAAACTTGTTTTCATGCTGCCTTAGTATCCCAGAGTGCTGAGTTACAGTTATAAACTGAGCCACACTGCACAGTTTATTTCATTCTAAATTAGCATGGAAATAACCTTTATCCTATGGATTGCTAAAGAGAAAGGAAGAAAGGAAGAGTTCAACTACAAAAAAAAAAAAATCTGTACACACCTACGTGAATAAGGGGATAAGGGTATATAGCTCAGAGGTAAAACTCTGGCCTAGCAAGCACCAGGCTTTGGGTTCTCTCCTCAGTACTGCAAAATAAATCTTACTTATTGAGCACTAAGAAAATTATGCTAGTACCAACTGTCCTCTATTACTTTTCTTAATTTTATGAATTTTAAATGAGATCCTAAAGTGTAGCTAATAAAACTATGCTGAACTAGTGTAAAGCTTCATCATTAGATCTTTTCCAAATGTCTCAAAAGTATATTATAAGTATCAAAGGAGCAACAAATTTCTGGAGTACAGGCTAACTTCTATGGGGATTGGAAAAAGAAAAAACCTAATGTAAATTTCCAGTACGTATTTTGCAATGATGAAACTTGACAGAGTAAACTCTGTCGGTTGTGCTTTTTTAAATCTGCTTCTCCAAAGAAAGCCAAAACGAGTTAACAGTTTTAATCCGCTAGTTTTTTTCCGCCTTTCACAAAACAATCGACCACTTCGTATTCAAACTTGAGTAAAGATTCTTCAAACACTGTTCTTGACCCTTCTGTCTTTAGATTTCATAACTCAAACCAGGAAATTTCTGAAGCACACACATGAAAGGCAGGTAAAATGACAGGCGTAACCGTATCTAGGAATTTACGGTGACTCCCTGTTTGGTTTTTATTTAATACTTTTACCACGTTTTACGTCTTTAGGAAAGCAAAAGAACAACGTACTATACTAAATTACGAAGCCAATCTAGGCCAACTCTTTTTAATCTTTTATGGTTATAACCGTGGATGGAAAAACAACTTTCCTATTTGTCAGTGCCTCAAAGTCGTTAAGATAAAAATAAAACTTGCAACACTAAGGACGCTTCACAGCCCTCCAACACTCAGCACGGAAAGCATCCACATCCCTGCTCCACCTCGCCCGTTAACGAGGCCAGAGCCTCGGGCTAGCGCCCGGGGGCTCCGCGCAGGGCGGGGCTCGCGCCGGATATGGCCCGGGGACCACCGAACCGGGCACCGCCCCAGCTAGAGCTCCTGGCCCGAGAGACACCGGCAGGGGCACAGTCCCAATCCAGGGACAGAGAAGGGGCGGGCGGTCAGCTCCGAGTCGAAGGAGGGAAGAAGGCTCGGGTGACCACCGAGCGGGTCCAGAGGAAAGTGGACGCCTCACCTGCTCCTCTCGAGGCAGCCGCTAACGCTCGCTGAGGGGACAACATGGAGCCTCCACTTTCAGCAGAAGCAGTAGAGGCGCGGAGGAGAGGGGCGGGCTGAGGAGGGCACGAACAGGGGCCTAGAGACGGGAAACGGGCGGGGCCCCGGCTCCCAGAGAAACTAGTGAAAGGAAGGGCGCGCAGAGGCTCTAGAAAGCGAGCCTAGGGCGCAGAGGCAGGACTCTACAGGCGGCCCGGGGCGTGGCAAGCGCCCGGATGGCTAGGGCGGGAAAGCGCACGCGGCCGAATCCCGCCACCGCCTGGCGCGTGTGCGCGTGCGTAGGAGCGCCCCACCGGCTACCTAAGGCTACGCAGTGGATTCTTGGGTCCGTTGGGAATTGTAGTCCCGAGCTTTCTCGGCCCGGCCTGCGGCCCTATTCTGCAGACTCATCCGGAGCTGGGCGGAAGCGGAGAGGGCGAGGCGGGACCTGGACTACAAAACTACAGTTCCCAGCTGGCTGCGCTGGGAGAACTGCCCGGGCTGGGGACCAGGCCCTGGCTGCCTACATTCACGCTGCTGCCTCACGTGCAGATCAGTCTCGTCCGGCCCGGAGTCTCAATCCAGCTTTCAATTCCACCTGCGGCGTTTGCGGCGGCTTCCGTGTTAAACGCCAGCAGGGACCATAGGAGACAGCAGAAAAGTGTCCTCAGTCCATATGACGTGAATCCTGCTGAATTTTTAACGATTTTGACTTCACAAGGAGAGGCCATGTCTTCATTACCACTGTTATCCTCGTCACATACACACACACACACAAACGTGTTCCTGGCTAAGCCTGATATGCACTATCGCCGTTTGTGTGTGTGTCTGTACGTTTGTGTGTGGTTTTTTTGAGACAGGGTTTTCTATGTAGCCCAGGCTGGCATCGAACTAGTGGTGATCCTCCTGCCCCGACCTCCCGAATGCTGGGATTACAGGTGTGTGCACCCCCGTGCTCAGCACCATCACCTTTCTTGATAGATGTCTTAACTTCCAGCAAGACCTGCCATCGTCTTTGTTCAGCCTAAACCATGGCCAGTCTTTTGTAAATGACAAGTTTACAGGACCTTGTTTCAAAGCTGTTTTTTTTAATCATACTTAAAACTATATGGTAAATCAGGGGCTGGGGATTTAGCTCAGTGGTTCCAGCGCCTGCCTCGCAAGCGCAAGGTCCCGAGTTAGATTCCCCAGTACCCCTAAAAAAACCTATATGGTAAATCAACACAAAACCAGGTTCTCCAAAAACACTTGTACAAACATGTCACGTGATTGGGAATGTATCATTTGCCCCACATAAGGAAGAAAAGTTGATGGGGGGTAGTGGTAGTTGGGCATAAGTACCTGGTAGAGTTTATGGGAGGCTAAAGCATCCCTTCTTCCCCTACCAGCACCATTTCGCATAACCCTTGCTTTAATCATACAACAAATGACTCTCCTTTTTTCCTTCAGCCTCTGTCTTAAGTATTATAACCTGCTCAGAACCTCTTCTTCCCAGCTAGCTACTCCTAAGCCAGTGGTGGCAAACCTATGACACAAGTGCTGCAGTGGGCTATTTGCATCATCAAAAGCTCAAAAAGGTTTGCCAACACAGCAGGCCATGCCAAGCCCTTGAGCCATTTTTTACTTTCCTAGGCCAAAGGTGAAAAGATAAAAATAATTCTTTATGTACCTAAAGATGTCCTGATTTAACTTCTTTTCCCCTAACACTCCTGATTATCCCCCAAACTCTCAAGACTATTTGAATACCCTCTTCCAGCCCTTGGATTTAAATCTAGATTAGATTTAGGCCAGTTAGGCCAGGAGGAAATTAGAAGTGAACATCAGGGAAAGAGATTACAGAGGTAGAAAGGCAGGACCTACAGGAGGTGACACAAATCCAGGGCATTACATGGCAAGCTCAGAAAGGAAGGGCCAAAGGCTGGTGACTTGTCACAACTGTAACACACTGCAAAATTTTTAAATTGCACATACATTCTCCATTTCCCTTCCTTGCACTAGTTTCTCCATCTGACTTACGTGTTACTTTTTGTTTTATTTCTTCCCACTAGAATGTAAATTCAAACTGTAGAAGAATTTTTGTTTTGAATAAACAGCTAAATCCCAGTACCTCAAACAGTGCCAACAGCAACTAGATACTTTCTGATTCCTTTAATATTTGAGGGGCAGTTTGTTTCTGTTTGTTTTTTGAGACGGGGAGAGCTACATAACCCAAGCTGGCCTTGAACTTGTGCTGAGAACCTTCAGAGTGCTGGAATTACCTTACCATCACGTCTGGTTTCACTCGTTTAATATTAAATACCAAACTTTCACTATGTGTATCTTTTTTATTATTATTATTATTGGTACTGGAGATTGAACTTGGGACCTTGCGCCTTTGAGGCAGGCAGTGGAACCACTGAGCTAAATCCCCAGCCCCCAAACTTTTACTATGGAACAGGATATACTGTTCTATTTTAAGAGCTCGTAATGAAGATGCACTAAAATCCCTTCTGTCAGGAAGTTAATAGCAAATGCTGGTATTATATCTATCTCACTATTACATCAACAAGGTCACTGTCAGCACATCATCAGCCTTCCTCATACTTTTTTTTTTTTTTTTTTTTTTTTTTTTTTTTGTGATACCAGGGATGGAACTCAGAGCCTTGGGCTTGCAAGGCAGGCATGGTGCCACTGAGGTAAATCCCCAGCCCCACTTCCTCATATTTTGAAGTTTTTGGCATTTGAACCAAACTATACAAAGTATAGGGGGATTTTAGGATTAGTCACAGCCTAGAAAGCGACCTGTATAAATAAGAAACATATTATTGTTTCCTCAAATATCCAGGATCATCAGAACAATGGACATTCAAAATGTTAAATATTGGGCTGGGGATTTAGCTCAGTGGTTTCACTGCCTGCTGGGCAAGCACAAGGACCCGAGTTTAATCCCCAGTACCAAAAAAAAAAAATGTTAAATATTGATGATACTAATTACAGTCCATTTTAGGTCACCTCTGAATTGAGTCACATGATATGACCAGAGGTTGAGCTTTCCTTGTGGTTTTCTAGAATTAGCTTCTAGAAGTGTTCATGTTTGAATGATTAAGACAGTGGATTTGGGGTCAGACTGACCTAGATTTTAATTTTGACTCTGATACTGCCTCTGGCTATGCAACCTTGGGGGAATTATTTAACCTGTCTGAATCTATTTCATTATCTACAAACTAATTCCAATACCTACAGAATTGTAAGTTAAATGAGATATAAGTGTTGACAATGATGACTGATTATGGTTAGTGCTCAAAACATAGTAATCATCATATTCATTCTGTTAATAGGTTTCTTTTGTTTTTTGTGGGGTTTTTTTTTTTTGGTATCAGGGATTGAACTTGGGACCTTGTGCTTTTGAGGCAGGTGGCAGCACCACTGAGCTAAATCTCCAGCCCAAGAGTTTTTTGTTTTTGTTTTGCTTTCTTTTGCAGTGCTTCAGATGAAACCCAGGACCTCAAGCAGGTGAGGCAAGTGCTATATCACTGAGCTATACTCCTACAGCATATTTATTTTGGAAAAATAAGACAGTCATAATTAAGATATTGGAGTATTTTATGAAGCTCAAAAAAAGCAAAATTACTGTAGGAGGCTGAGGCAGGAGGATCACAAATTTGAGCTCAGTCTGGGAAACTTAGTGACTTAGCAAGACCTTGTCTCAAAATAAAAGGAAAAAGGGCAGTGAGGGTGTAGCTCAGTGCAGAGGCCCTGGGTTCAATCCTCAGTACCATTTAAAAACAAAACAAAATAACAAACTTGTTTTCTGCAGTGACATCCACTATGACTCAGGTTCCAAAGATTTCCAAAATTAGAGCATTTGTTAGGTTCCTCATATGGTACTAGGCAGTAATGCTACATAAAACACATTCCTATCCTCTTCAGGCTTGCAGTCTTGTGGGATAAACAACCAAGGAAATATCACTCTTTGGGCTGTCCTGGAACACAGTTTTAGGCATAATTTAAATATCCATACCTGGGGTAGGGAAATGTAGCTCGGTAGAACATTGAGTGTTTATAGCATATGCAGCCCTGAGTTTGATCCCCAACACCCCCCAAAAAAAGACTCCACACTGGGTGTACCTGTAACCCAGCTACTTGGGTGGCTAAAGAAGGAGGAGCCCCAGAGCTCAGGATTTCAGAACCAGCCTGGACAACATACTAAGACTCCAACTCTTTAAAAAAAAAACAAACCGAAAAACACAGCAGCCATAGTGGCACACCCCTATAACCCCAGCACGTCAGAAGCTGAGGCGGGAGGATTGTCATGAGTTCGAGGCCAGCCTGAACTACACAGCAAGACCTTGTCTCAAAAAACAACAAATAAAAAAGTTGAATATTAGACTGTCAACACAGTAACATAGTACAAGCTTAAGGTTTTATCAGCTGCTTCATTATTACTATTCCAGCCAATGCTTCAAAAAGACACTAGTGAGATCACTAGAAGAAAAAAAGCAATGTGCCCCCAAATGTGTATAGCATACCATCATTTGTGTTTAAAATGGTGGATAAGCCTGTAATCTTTTTTTTTTTTGGTACTGGGATCGAACTCAGGACCTTGGGCCTTTGAGGCAGGCAGTGGCACCACTGAGCTAAATCCCCAGCTAATTCTGTAATCTTAGGTATGGTGGCACATGCCTGTAATCCCTGCACTTGGAAGGCTGAGGCAGGAGGGTCACCATGAGTTTGAGGCCAGCATGGTCTACATAGTAGTTCAAGGCCAGCCTGGACTATGGTGAGACTGTGTCTCAAAAATAAAAAGATAAATGAAATATAAATAAATAAATAAATAAATATAGAAATAGATGAACCTT